GACAGAGCAAGACTCCGTCTCAACAACAACAAAAAATAAATAAATACAAAAATTAGCTGGGCATGGTGGCGCGTGCCTGTGATCCCAGCTACTCAGGAGGCTGAGGCAGGAGAAGCGCTTGAACCCAGGAGGTGGAGGTTGCAGTGAGCCGAGATCAAGCCACTGCACTCCAGTCTAGGCAACAGAGTGAGGCTCCATCTCAAAAAAAAAAAAAGAAAAAAAAAGAAAAAGAAAAAAATGGATAGGGTTTCTACCATCACAGCATGAGTATCAATCAGTAAACAAGGTAATTGCACAGTGGGATAACTACTGCGAATTTAGAAAACTGACTAGAATGATAGAGAACAGTCAGGGAGCGCTTCCCTGGTTATACTGGGTGACTAGAGCAGGATCTTCTGAGGTGTTTAAGCAGAGCTCTTCAATGAGGCAGGACTTTTGTGGTTGCAGGTCTTAAAAAGCTCTCACAGTAACAAGCACACACACGAAAAGGATTTATTGGCTTGCACAAGGAGAAAAGCACGGAGTGTTTTATTTCAGATATGGCTGGATTTCGTCAGGAATCTTCTTCCATCTTTTAGTCTTGCTTTCCAGTGTTGGCTGCATTCACGTGCAGGTTCGCTTCCTAAGGGTCCTTTCTACAAACCCCAGGAGATGGTAGAAAATGAGCAGGACTGGGACTCTGATTGGAATGCCTGAGGTCAGAGGACTATGTTTGAACCAAATTCTGGCCAGGGAAATGTACTACTATGATTGGCTAGTGGAATGGAGTAGTCTGATTGGCCAATGGGATGGAGTACCCTGATTGGCCAGTAGAATGGAGTATTCTGATTAGCCAGGCTTGCCAGGGATCCGGTTAAGCCAGCCAAACAAAATGGGTTGAGGGGGCAGAGGGCTGAAGCTCCCATAGGGGGACAGGGCTGGAAAATCCCACAGATTTCAAGGAGGAGGAGGAGCCAGTTGACTAAGTGTGGGGCAGGTAAGGGGAATTCCTGGCAGAGGAGACAGCGAGTGCAAAGATTCCAATGGGGAAGCCAATGTGCCCTGTTTGAGGCAGTCAGGAGACCCCACCACCCTCTTAGGGGCCTTCTCCTGGTCCCTACACCCCCTAGCTTCCTCTGTTGCAGCACTTACCTCTCTGGGCTGGAACCCAATCTGGCTTCTCTTCCCGCAGTCTGGGGCCCTCCTTCTGGGAGGTCCTTCTTGCCTCCCACTGTGAGGGGTTTGGGCTTCCAGCCAGACCACCCAGCTGAAGCAGGTAAGAGTGAGAACCCGCCCCTGCTACAACAATCAGTGTCCCCCTTGTAGACCTTTGGTGCACCAAAGGATTCCCCAATCCTTTGTGCAGAGACACTTGGTCCCCAATAGAAGCAGAGAACCGTGACCAGAATGATGTACTCAGGGCCGGGCGCGGTGGCTCAAGCCTGTAATCCCAGCACTTTGGGAGGCCGAGACGGGCGGATCACGAGGTCAGGAGATCGAGACCATCCTGGCTAACACGGTGAAACCCCGTGTCTACTAAAAAATACAAAAAACTAGCCGGGCGCGGTGGCGGGCGCCTGTAGTCCCAGCTACTCAGGAGGCTGAGGCAGGAGAATGGCGTGAACCCGGGAGGCGGAGCTTGCAGTGAGCTGAGATCCGGCCACTGCACTCCAGCCTGGGTGGCAGAGCGAGACTCCGTCTCAAAAAAAAAAAAAAAAAAAAAAGAATGATGTACTCAGATCCACAGAGACCTCAGTACAACAGCACCATGATAGAGAGGCACAGCTCCCCACAGGGTTCTTCACCCCCACACCTCTCCCCGCCCTTTCTCTCACCTCGACACCATGACAGAGTCTCACTCTGTCACCCAGGCTGGAGTGCGGTGGCACAATCTCAGCTCACTGCAACTCTGCCTCCCAGGCTCAAGCGATCCTCTCCCACCTGTCTCCCGGGTAGCTGGGACCACAGGCATGCACCACCACACTCAGGTAATTTTTTGTATTTTTGGTAGAGACAGAGTTTTGACATGTTGCCCAGGCTGGTGTCGAACTCCTGAGCTCAAGCGATCCACCCCCTCCCGCCTTGGTCTCCCAAAGTGCTGGAATTACAGGTGTGAGCCACCTCACCCAGTTCCCGTATTCTTTTTTTTAGAAAAACAAAACTGTAAGATATTCACACACCACCCCATATACTGTGCAGTCAGGAAGAGAGGTTCTGAAAACAGGAAGTCAGGAGGCACATCCTGAGGTCCCCAAGAGTTTCCTGGCACTGACCTTGGTGACAGAAGCAGTGTGTTTAGATGGTGGGGACAGGACAGTCTGGCACACAAGGAAGACAACTCATGGCAGAATAATAATAATTATTATAATAACAGTATCATACATCAAGGACAAACCCAGCTGCCCCAAGCCTACTGCAAAATCTGTATGTACAGTATAGTCTATGTGGGTGGGGTACAGGGCTGCCTGCCTGCACCCTCAGGCCTTACTCATACCAGCTCCCTGAGGAGGGGCCGGCCCCTCCTCCTGCCCCTGTTGAAACTTGGCACAGGCTGGGGAGGCTGGCACTGCCAACGCCATCCCTCCGTGTTGGGCAAGCCTGTTCCAAGGGGCTAGACTCACCTCCCCCACTGTGGCCTGGCTGCAAGGGGCTGGGGGTGAGCTTGTTGTGGGACAAGGCGGTGGTGGCTGTGGGGTGTGTCTCATCTGAGTCCCCTTTCCACCCCTACCGGCTCTTCCTGCGGGCCTGCCCATGGCAGGAAGGGGCCAGGGACACTCATGGCACAGACAGGGCATGCAGAGCGGACCCGTGGCATGCTCGGCCCGCCGGGTGCCATGCAGCTGTCCTGGACTGTTGGGTAGCTGTCAGAGGGCTGAGTCGGTGGTGGAGTTCAAGGATCCCCCGATGGGCTGGGCTGCTGATTCAGTCTGTGGTGGGGTCTCCCGGGAGCTGGGCCCTTGGGTAGGCAGCTGCAGAAATTCTGGAAGTATCAGGTCCTCTTTCCTCAGAAGACCCCTCTGGTCGTGGGCCCCGCTGCTCTGCACCCGGTTCAGCAGCTCCACCAGGCCTGGAGGCAAGCCACAGCATGAGGGTCCCCCCAGCAGACTTGCCTATATGCTAGCCCACAATAGTCTCACTGCCTTACTGTGGCCACAGCCTCCCTGGCCCCAGCACCAATGGCCTGTGGCCCCCTGTTCCAGCCCCTTTGACCCCCCAACCCCCACCCTTCCTGTTCCATGCCCAATGGCACCCAGCCCCCTGCCTTAGCCCAAGGCTCTCTGATGCCACCCTGAATGGTCCCCAACCCCACTGCCCTAGTCCCTCTAATCCTCAGCTCATCCACCATGTACCTTCGATGTCACAGGTCTGCCGCTTTCCACTGGCACTACTGGGCGCCTTCACCAGAGAACTGGGAGACGCTGGAGGGGGATGGGTGGCCTTGTCCTGGGTTCTAGGTGGACAGCCCTGCGAGAATGTGGGGTCAGAGTCAAAATCGGGAGGGGAGAAGTAGAGGGTGGAAGAGGCCACCCGCCTTTCGCTCACCTGGCTGCGGCAGGGAGATTTGTCACGGGCTTTGGAGATCTTCACACCTGCGGCAGACAGTGCCACAGTTAGTGTTTGCCTCCCACCCGGGCCCCCTTCCTCCTGGGCCACAGTCGTTCCAGATCAAGCCCCAAGGCCAATGTCCCCTACCTGGAAGAGTGTCCAAAACCAGTCTCTGGGCCGCCACTGAGCTCACTAGCTTTCCCAGATCCAGAGGCTCCTTCTCGCCTGGCTGCGGGGAGATGTCAGCAGCCCGCGGTACAGGCCTCCGCCTGGCCCCGGCCCCGCCCCTCCCGGCCCCGCCTCTCCTCGCCCCGCGGCCCCGCAGCTCACCCGGTGCAGCACCACCTGTAGCGGGCTCAAGCCGTGCTTCTCCAGAATAGGTTGCAGCGCCTCCTGCAGCCGCTTGGTGGGCTTGGCTGAGATTCGTACCACGCGATCCAGTGCCGTCAGCTCCAGCCTGCGCGGAACCCTCGGGCAGCAGACGGCCGGAGGGCCGGCCCCCAGCCAAACCCTTCCCAGTACAAACGCGAAGGGGTGGAGCCTGAACTGCAGAAGGTGGGACTGGCTTGTAGGGGACGGGGTTTGTCTCGGGGGCGGGGCTAACACGAGGGGCGGGGCCTGGAGAGCCAGGTAGCCAGAACAGAGCCTGAAGGGAGCGTCAGGACCTGGGACCCAGACTTGGGGGCAGAACACTCACTCGAAGGTGATCCTGTTTTCCAGCCGCACTTCCTGATCTGCCAGCACGGTGCAGTCCTGATCCAGGACCAGGGCCTTCTGTGGATGCCAGGCAGGGTCTAAGAGTCCCTCCCCCAACCCCCAGCCATCCCTGTGGGTCTAAGAACAACTTCACGCCCTCCCATGGCCACCACTGGGGCTTCCTAGAGGGAGGGATGGAGGGTGGAAAAGCTGTAGGGGAGCAAATGGGTTAAGGTACCAAGCTGGAGTCCAAGCCCGGGAAAGCCAAGGCCTGGGAGAAAAGTGGCAAGAATGCTGGATATTCTTGGGAAAAGACAGAAATTATGAGAAACGTATCTGCTGGCATGAAATCATAAGTGGCAGGCCTCGGTCCCAGATCCCTGGCCTACTCTTTCTGTGCCAGGACAGGCTCTGCCTCCAGGACCGCTGCCCCCTGTCCCTCAGGTGTGTGAAATCCAACCAGACCGACTGGAAGCATTTCCTCCCTCACCACCCACCTTTGGTCAACCATCCTGGCCTGGTCCCATTTTTGACATTTGTCCACTTCTTTCCATTCCCCGCTACTAAGGACACTTCTTGTTTCCTCATTCAAAAAGGGCCCACCCCCAAAACTGCTGTGAAACCAGAGGATGTGAAGCATCTGGCACAATGCCTGGCACACAGTAGGAACATAAACAGTAACTCTCGTGATGACACCCTCAGAGGCCCCACTGCCTGCTCCAGACTGATGTGGGGTTGGGGGCAGCATCTCCCAGGCAGTAGGCCTGTGCTGTGCTGTCGGAGCAGGTGGAGTGTGGGTGAGGAAGTTATATTTAGCACGTATGAAAGCCCATCTGGGCTTCTGGCAGCCGCCCTGGCGGCCTGAGAAGAGTGGGCAGCACACCTCCCACTCCTGCCCTCGCGCCCTTGCACTCCAGGCCCCTGAAACGTGCCCCGCAAGTACCTGCCTGAAGGCCTTTGCCTAAGCTGTTCCCTCTGCCTGGAATATCCTCCCCCACAGCTCTGCCAGGCAAACTCCTCCCCATCCACATCGACTGCTGCTTCTTCCATGAAGCCTTCCGGACATCAGCCAGAAACGCCTACCTTCTCCCAAGAGACCTTCTCTGGCGTTTTCACTCTTCCTCCCTGATCACTCCCTGCTTGGCTTACTTCCAGCCTGTGGGCCAGGAGGACAGCCCCAGATCTGGGTTCCTCTCCCCCACACACCTGGCAGGACCTTAGGACTTGTCTACTAGGTAAATGAAATCCTGACGGCCCCCTGGAAGGCAACATTCTTCCTTGAGATTCCCTTGACTGAATGGTTTCCTTTAAAGCCAGTTTTCCCCTACGTCTTCTTTAAAGTTTAAGCTAGTTTGCACCTAAAGGAAAAAGTTCATGGGTTAGGTGCAGTTGGGTGCCCCTAGAGGCTAAGGAGGTGAGGGCACTCCATGAATGGCCATTGCCAGGATGGGTCTCTGAGGATGGCAGTCTGGACTCTGGGAATGATAAGGGACAAACCTCAGCTCCAACAGTGGTTCTCCCTAGTTTTACCTCCCTAAGATCACCATGGTAGGATGATAGATGAAGCTGGAAACCTGGAAGGGCGTGAGGTGGGGGCGGGTGGATGTCTGAGTGAGTGAAAGTTGGTGTGGAGGTTGCTTTGGAGTTGGGTGTGGGTACAGGAGTGGGATTGTGGGTAGAGGCTGAAGTTAGGAAGGGGGTGATGATAGGAAATGGGGTTGAAATTAGGGTTAGTCCAGGGGATTAGAAATTGAGTTGAGGTTGGAGCCATGACTGATCTGGGACAGAAATGGAGTTGGGGTCAGGATCAGGAAGGAGGTTAGAGTTGGAGCTAGGTCAAGTTCCCACCTGTTCATTGCCCACCAGGTAGACCTTGATGTCAGGTAGAGAGAGGCCTCGTTTCTCACAGATCCCTGCCAGCATATCTCGGATGGTGAGGCCAGGTCTGGCCAGGGCCAAGGAGGCTGTGCCATCAGGCAGGTACACACAGCAGTACTTCCCTGGCCGGCTTTCACTTTCACCCTCGGTGCTCCCAAGGCTCTTCCGGTGGCTCTGATTCAGGGCAGGAGCAGGGAAGATTACGTGTACACATGCAAGGGCATGCAGACAGGTACACAGAGACAGGTAAGCTTGCTGGGGCTCAAGCATGCACACGCACTCCCAAGGCACGCAAAGATATATCCTCCTGCAGGAACACATGTATGCACACCCAGGCTTATGGGCACCTAGAGACGGTCCACTTGCTGATTCCCACACACCTGCTGTGTATACACACCTGGGTGCTGCACATGTGCACACATCTGCCGACAGAGGATGTGCACCCATGACATATATGGGGACCGATATAGTGAGGACGGGAGAAAAGTAAGGAGGCTGAAGGGTTGGCCATGCAGAGCAAGCTGGGAGATGCAGTAAGGACAGCAACTTGGAATGAGGGCTACCACGTAAACAGGCCTGAGTAGTGACCCTAGCCCATAGAGCATCTTGTCTTCCTCAACAGTCGACTCACCTCAGATTTGCTGCTGACGAACGCTAGGAAGCCAAGGTCCAGGCTAGCGGAGGAGTTGAGGGAGCCTTGAGACTCTCGGCGCAAGGCGGCGTTTGCAGTCCCGCCCAGCTCTAGGGAAGAGGGAGCGATGGACGCGAACAGCCCCCCGCCCTCACCCATCCTCTGCGGAAGCCTCTCCCCAACTGGTGGGCCTTGTTTGGAGTCATCCTGCAGGGGCCCAGGTGTAAATCCCTGGGAGCAACACCACCGTTGGAGATTTCCAAACGTCTGTGGTCTAGCCCAGGACCCAAACCACCCAGGGGAGTGTGGTGGTCACTGGGACCTGCGTCTCAATTTTCACAGACTTACAGACTGTGGCCCACGTAGGAGGAAGCGGGTACTCCCCAAACTTGCCCAAACTCCCGCCTTCCCCCCATCTCTGTTGCTCGCTCCTGCCCTCACCCCTGCGGAAGGACTTGCGGAGAGGGCGGCCCCCAGGACCCTCAACGGGTGGCTGCCCCAACTCCTCCACACCCAGCGGCAGCGACTTCCCGGGCTTCAGCTTCGGCTTCTGTGGGTACAGGGGAGGCGCTGGCACCGGGCTGGGCCCCAGCCCGCATGCAGACCGTGGGCACATACCCGCAGATCTGCACCCGGGGGCGTCCCCTCTTGCACGCGATCCGCAGGACCCCCTGCCTCGCCCAGTCCCTCGTCCGCACCTTCCTAGTGGCGTCAGGGCTGCCGAGGCGCGAGGAGCCAGGTTCCCGCAGAGGGCGCCCCTCGGCCTCAGCTAGCAGGCACTCGCGGTACAGCGGGGACTTGACGAAGCGCGCATAGCTGTCGAACTTCATCAAGTTGAAGATCTGCGGGTCGAACCCGGGACAGGTGAGCCGGGGCTGGGGTGGGGGCGCTCGGCTGCCCGAGCCCCACCCCGACGTCAGTTCCTATACCCACCCCCAGGGTCCAGGCCCTGCCCGGGGCTCAGCTAGGCTCCGCCTCTAACTGTCCTTCCCGGGAGCCTCTGATACCGACCTCTGAGCTCCGCCCCGCCTGCCCCGGCATTTGGCTCTGTTCCGCCTCCAAATTTGCCCCTTCCGCTTTGTAGTTCAGGCTCCCCGCCAGGGTCCGACCCCGCCCCTGCGCCTTTTGTCTCCCTTTCAATGCCAATCCACCCGGGATCGCCCACCTGAAGCTGCTGTGCCCGAAACATGTCCGGCCGGGGCTCGGCCAGCACCTCCTCGCCAAGCCAGGCCTGACGGTCGATGTTCACTGGGCTCAGCGCCTGGCTGGACAGGAACTCCTGGTAGATGTTGCGGGCCTCCTGAGCTAGCTGAAGGAGGAGGGGCAGGAGGAGTTGGTCAGGGAGCATGGCCCATTTCCCCTCTCCCCAGCCCTCGGCCCCAGCTCCCCCTTCTCCCACCTGCTGGGTATCGCTGGCCGGGATCTGTTGGAAGCGCTCGCAGGCCTTCCAGAAAGTCACGTTTTCCGCGCTGAACTCCTTCTTCAGGAACTCCTGGGAGGGGAAGGAGGGGGAGGCAGGCAGAGACTCAGTGACACAGAAACCAAACTGCGGGATGTGATCAAAGAGACTGGGACAGGGACAGGGCCAAGAGACCAAGCCAGACGGAGAAGGCCAGCCAGACAGATGGAGCCAGATCTGAAGGCAGGGAGAGAAAATGAGAGACGGAGACAAGGACAGGGAGAAGGAAGAAAAGTTCCCATCTGGGAGAATAGGAAGAGGGTGCTGCAGGAAGGCCAGATGAGGGAGCTGACAGAGGACCCCACTCTGGCCAGCCTGATGCTCCATCCACGCCCTGCCCTTTCCCGTGTCCCCCCTTCCCTTTCCCCACCCCAGGCTTACAGTGAAGTAAGCCAGGCCCAGCGGGTCCTGCAGCAGCCGCTCGAAGGACAGGGCCCAGCTGGCCACAGGCTGCTCCTCGGTTGGGAAGGGGCTGCTAGGACCACTGGGGAGGCTGTGGATGCTGAGGGAGCTGCCGCGGCCCTCGCCCTGGCCCTGGGGCCCCGTCGTGCTGCTCAGCTCTGCAGGGGGATGGACAAGTCGGGGTGAGCCTTGCTGCCTTCCCCAGCCCCTGGCACAACCCACCCTCCCCCAAGCATCCACTCTGCAGGCATGTTCTCTGGAAAGATAGCAGGTGGCAGGGGTGTCCCACCCATCTCCACCTCCCTCCTCCCTCCCACTCAGCCAGTCCTCCTCCACACATTCCGTCACTTACCTCCATCTGACACAGCCAGAACCTATAAGAGATCCAACAGAGGAAGTCAGAGGAGCCCATTGAGGATTCCCAGGGGACAGTTCTGGGCCCAATTCCCAGGAGGTGGAATTGTGTTCTCCTCTACCTGGGCATCCCCAGGCAGTTTCTACTTGGTCAGGCTTTTGCTCAGGCTGCCCCTGGTTCCCTTTCCATCCTGTGCCAACCACTAAGTACTGGCACTTATGCCAGGTACCTTCCAGCAGCCCCTGGTTCCCTCCTCCCCCAACCCCTGCTGGGTAAGCCAGGTGTGCATAGCATGGTGGGTAGGAACAGACTTTAGTCTCTGGCACTTACTAGCTGTGTAACTTTGGGCAAGTTAGTTAACTTGTTTGCCTTCATCTGTAATCTGTAAATAGGAGATAATGCCTATTTACAAATGGAGGCAAACCATTTGCCTCTATCTTGATATGAAGATCAAGTCAGTTTAATATATTCACAGCATTGGCCGGGCACAGTGGCTCACACCTGTAATCCTAGGACTTTGGGAGGCCGAGATGGGTGGATCACCTGAGGTCAGGAGTTCGAGACTGGCCTGGCCAACATGGTGAAACACAGTCTATACTAAAAATACAAAAAAAAAAAAAAAGATTAGCTGGGCGCGGTTGCAGACGCCTGTAATCCCAATTACTTGGGAGGCTGAGGCAGGAGAATAGCTTGAACCCAGGAGGCAGAGGTTGCAGTGAGCCGAGATTGAGTCATTGCCCTCCAGCCTGGGCGACAAGAGCAAAACTCCATCTCAATAAAAGAAAATCAAATAAAAATATATCCACAGCATCTAGAACAGGGGCCAGCATGTGATATGGGCTGTATAAACCAGTGCTGTCTTCGAGGAAGGAGAGGTGTTTCTGCAGCCAGTGATCTTCTTATTGCAAGTGTTTCCTATTGGGCCCAGGGTCTACCACAGGTCCCATCCCACCTTGGGAGGGCACAGGATGCTGTTCTATAATATAGAGCAGTGGTTCTCAAACTTCAGGGCAGAGTGGGAGGACCCCACCTCTGGAGATTTAGGTTCAGTAGGTCTAAGATGGGGCCTGAGGCTGTCCATTTCTGCCAAGCTCCCAGGAGATGCTGAATCTGCTGGTTCAGGGACTACTCTGTTAGTAGCACTGCTGCAGCAGCTAACTCCATCCTTGCCCCCAATGCACAACTCTGGTTTCTCTGGGAATCCCAATCATTAGTGAAACAGAAAAACTCTCCTCTCAAAATGACTCTTGCGGTGGTTTCTCTTGTTTCTCTTTTTACCTTCCTAGCAGCTCCTCCAGCTTCCCCACTATCTCCCACTCATGCAATGTGGCCTCAACCCCTCCCTGGTTCTGTCCTGGGCACTTTGTCCCATCCACAAATCCGCAGCTCCAGACACACATAACCAACTTCCTAGTAACATCTTCCCCCAAATGTCCCACAAGCCCTCAAGCTCCCAAATGGAAGCTCCCTCTGCCTCCATCAAAACAGAGTACCAAACCAGCTTCCCTGCCCCCATCTTTCTTACCATCACCTGGGCTTCCAACATCAGGGCTTGAGTCATCCCCAATTCCTACTTCCCGCTTACCTCCTACATTTTCACCATGCCCTGTCACAGAAGTTCCTACCACCAGCCCCTTATTTCCATTCCAACTGGAAACAGGCCTGCAAACATCTCTACCCCTGGAAAGCCCCCCACCCCCACCCTTCTAAATGGAACCTCCCTCTCTGTTTCCTACTCCCACCCTGAGAATATTCAGGTCACAGGGTGGCCATCTGCGGGCCAGATCTGGTCTGCAGATATGTGGGATATTACTATTATCTTGGCCCTCACAGTTTATTTATTTATTTATTTATTTATTTATTTATTTATTTATTTATATTTAAAGGTGTTTTCCACATTTAAAAAGCAAGAGATTTTAAATTCCACTTGCTCCATGAGACTGTAATGCTCCAGCTTCTTCCCAGCAGGACAACCTTGTCTGGCACTGAGCAGCCACCACCTTCCCCAAAAGGGCTTACACTCTCCTCAGAGGCCTTGGGGCCCATTTAATGCATTTATGCTACTTGTGGAGGCAGTGGGAGGCAGGCTCAAATTTGGGAGGTCAAATTTGTGCTGTGTGACTTTCGACAAGGTACTTAACCTCTCCGTGCCTCAGTTTTTTCCTCTCTAAAAACGAAGCAAATAACGGTCCTGACTTCGAAGGATTGGTGCGATTAAATGAGTTAAATATATATAAAGAACTCAGAACACTATCGGGCGTGTAGTAAATGTTCAAGGAATGTTACCATTAATGTTGTTCTTGTGTCGGTATTGATGCTGACCCCGCTACACATTCGAATTTGCCACTCCCGCCATAGAAGGAAAGAGCACAGGTGTTGGTGGGAGTCTCTCAGACCCAAATTCAAAACCCAGCCCTGACTTTTCCCAGTTTTACAACTTGCGGCTCCTCCCTGAGCTTCACTTCCCATCTGGAGCCCGGATAAGAAGTTGCAGCCGAGGGCAGCGAGTTAGTGCAGCGCGCGCTGGGCGGGGCGTCGGGCCCAGCACGCCCCGCCCCCGTCTCCGGCCCCGCCCCTCCTGGCCCCGTCTGCGTGCTCCCCGCTCTGCCTTCCCCGCAAAGTCAAATCCCCCAACGAAAGTTGGTGTTTCCCACGGCTACAAGAGAAAGTCCCCACTCCGAGGCGGCAGAGGGCTGCGAGGGAGGACGGGACCAAGCCTTTCCCCGCGCGGCCGCAAGGTTCCTCTGCAGCCTGCACCTACCTGCCTGCGCCCGGGCTCCTCCTCCCCCGGCTGCACCACCGCAGCGTTCCCAGCCTCGGAGACGCAGTCATCGCCCTCCCCCAGATCCCCGAGAATCACCCGGACTCGGCCCCCTCCGCTGGGCTGCCTGGCCCTGCCCTCCTCGCGCACACCCTGAGCCTCTGTCCTGCCCTCTAACCCCAAGTCTGGGATGATAGGCGCTGGGGCTGGGGCCAGCCAGCACTCCAATTTTGTTTGGCCCTCACAGGTTTATTTTCCATATTCTGCTTTACTGAATGTCGTTAAGTGGGGCTGGCTCCCAGATCCTCCCCAGGCCCCACCCTCCCCACGGTGCCACCCCGGGCCCTCTCCCTGCCCCCGGAGGCACGTTGCAGTTGCCAGGTTACGGCTAAAACCCTGCCTGGGCCTGACTAATGAACCCCTTCAGCTTCACCCATTTCCCTCCCCCTCACCTCCACCCTACACTTCACCAAACTTTCCTATTTTCCCCACACCCCTGCTTCCGGCTTTGCCATTGCCTCTGCCTGGGTATCTACTCCTGCTCTTCGCTTGGAATTGCTCCCCGATCTCTGCCCGTTGACATTAGTCATCCCCAAACACCAGGCCCCTTGAATGCCCCTTCCCACCACGTGCTTATCCACCCATGTCCCAGCCTCTCTCCCCTGCCAGTCTGGTGGCCCCTGGAGGGCTGGCCTGGTTGGTGGGAGAGGTCGGATCTGAACTCCCTCCTCAAGAAGCACCCTCCTTGCCCCGTGTTCCCAAGCAGCCATCAGGGCCCTGGCCTTGGCACCCCTTCACTAGGGACTCTCAGCCCCTGAATGCCACCTGTGGCTCTCCATCCTGAGCCTCTCTTGCCCTGACAGTTGTTGATAGCATAGCTGGAGCTGAAATTGAGTAGGGACAGAAATCTGGAGATGGGTGGGAATGGGGGTGGAGTCCATTTCCAGCTCTGCTATTTGGGAACAATACAGCTCAACTTCTCTGAGCTTCAGTTCCCCCTGGGTAGCATGAGGTTCAGCATTCCCAATTTCCTGAGGCTGCTGTGAAGCTTGAATGAGGCCCCATGAGTGAAAGCACCGGGCATGCCACAATCAGAGCAGCAGCCCACAGCAGAGTGAGGTGCAGGGGTGCAGGTGCCCTGCAGGGGCTCTGGCCTGCCCCGGCTGCCACTGCGGGGCCTGGGGAAGTTGTGTTGAGCAGCGCTGGCCTCCCCCGCTTCAGCCTGCTTGAGGAGAAGTGGTGAGTGAATGGAGAAAAAGGGGAAGAAAGGGCAAGGAAGGGTGTGGTGGCCAGTGACACACAGACCCAGGCTTGGACCTCGGCTAGTCATATTTTTTTCTTAGGAATTTGGTCCTGGAGGAGCTGCTGGCACCTGCAAATACTAAGATGAGAGTAAGGCCCCAGTTTCCTGAGCTTTGACTGTGTGGCAGGCACCCTGTGGCAGCACACATTCACGTCCTTACTCCATCTTTACATCTTGTGTGGCAGGTATTATTACCCCTATTTTACAGATGAGGAAACTGAGGCCCGAAGAAGCCATGTAGCTGAGATGTGGTGCAACTGAGATTAAAACTCAAGTTTGCCTGATTCTGGAGCCTGAGGCCTCTCTAGCCACGTTGCCTCCTTTTGTGGACCAAGGAAGCTTGGAGGCCCAGGGCCTCAGACCTTGGGGCACAGGTGGGCAAGTCTAATCTTGGGGCACAGGTGGGCATGATCTGCCCAGGGATTCCTCTTGAACTGTGCCCTCTAGAGGGATCAGACCTTGAAAGAGGGCCAATTTACTGAGCATCTTCTCTGCTGGGCACCCTCTACCATCCTCTGATTTCATCCTAGCTTCAGGGGCTGCAAGACCCTGTGTGGAGATGTCCTCACAGAACCTGGGTGTCTGGTCCCTTCAACTTGAACCAGCGGATGGAGATGACCCCTGGCCTTGCCCCTGTATAAGCCCACCCTGAACTCGGGTGCCCTGAGCTGGATGCCAGGGACAAAGAGAGAGTTGCATGGGTTTTGCCTTGCGGGTCTTCCTGCCAGGAGGGGAAGACTAACTAGGCCTTCCGACAGGCCAGGCCAGGCTAACTGCCCCCTCCAGGCTTAACTCCCAGCCTCCCCTAGGGCCCTGTCCCCGTGTTTGCCCACAGCCAGGCCTATGCCACGCCCTCCCTCCTCCAGCTTGCAGACCCTTTAGGGACCATCTCCTACAACACGGTGCATGGAGCTAGTGGAGAAGTTAGTTCCCTCAAGCTGTCTCTATTCTTCACTTGCAGCTCTTGCCTAACCCTGAATTTTATTCCCCTTCCTTCCTTCCTTCCTTCCTTCCTTCCTTCCTTCCTTCCTTCCTTCCTTCCTTTTTTTTTTTGACAGAGTCTCGCTCTGTTGCCAAGCTAGAGTGCAGTGGCGCGATCTCGGCTCACTGCAACCTCTGCCTCCCGGGTTCAAGCAATTCTCCTGCCTCAGCCTCCCAAGTAGCTGGGACTACAGGCACGCACCACCACGCCCAGCTCATTTTTTGTATTTTTAGTAGAGATGGGGTTTCACCATATTGGCCAGGATGGTCTCAATCTCTTGACCTCGTGATCTGCCCATCTCGGCCTCCGAAAGTGCTGGGATTACAGGTGTGAGAAACCGTGCCTCCCTCCTTCCTTCCTTCCTTCCTTCCTCATTCCCTCCTTCCTTCCTTCCCTCCTTCCTTCCTTCTTTCCTTCCTTCCTTCCATCTTTCTTTTTTTTTTTTATTGACAGGATCTTGCTCTTTCACCCAGACTGTAGTGCAGTGGTATGATCACAGCTCACTGCAGCCTTTACCTCCTGGGGTCAAACGACCCTCCCACCTCAGTTTCCCAGGAGCTGGGACTACAGGTGCACACCACCATGCTCAGCTAATTCAAAAGAAGATGGGTCCTCACTATGTTGCCCAGGCTGGTCTCAAACTCCTGGGCTCAAGCGATCCTCCTGCATTGGCCTTCCAAAGTGCTGGGATTCCAGGCTTGAGCCACTGCCTGGTATTTTCACCTGTGTCTTTTTTGCCTTGCCAGACTAGGGGGCAGGGACTAGGGCTGATGGGCCTGGGTTGGGAGTGTCTAGGATAGGGGCAGTGGCAGCACCAAGCAGGCAGTAAGGAGGGGTTGTTGAATGAATGAATGAATAAGTACATGAACAAATGAAGTGGTAAAGAGGCTGTGTGAAGACATCCCTAGGAAGGAGGCTGGGAGATGTCTCCAAGTGACAGGTTTCCTTGCAACTGCCTGACAAGCTGAATGGCAGAGAGGCGAGGCTGACAACTGAAGCTTCCACAGCAGGGAATGATGGTAGGGAGGAGAGGTGGGGGAGGACCAGGACCAGGCAGTTATGGGGGTTCGGATGCTGACGCTCTACTCTCCGGCTGACCTTGGCACAGCATTTACTTCTCTGAGCCTCCCTTGGGAGGTAACTCATGGAGGGACCAGACACACCTGTCCCCCAGGCGCCCTTCCATCCACATCCCTACCTCAGATGCCAGTGCCTGTCTAGCCCTTCCTGCCCTAGCTGTGCAGAGCCACGGGAAGCTACTCAGTGACCAGCAGGCAGCCAATCTGTGACCCTCAGGATTCGAAGAGGTGGCACAGAGAGTTCGGAACAGGCCCAGGAAGGGCAAAGATAACCTGTGTGTGACAGTTCTGAGAGGAGCCGGGGCGTCTGTGGGCTTGATGGAACTGGGGGCAGACCTTGGGGGCACCCTCCTTGCTCTGGGTGACTTTTGAGTAGATAAGTCACAGGCTGACACAGAAGAGGCAGGGGCTGGGTCTGTCTTTGGGCCCCCTCTGCTGCCCTGTTCTAGGCACTGTCCCAGAAGCATCAATCCAGTTGTCCTCCCGGGGTGGGCCTGGGGTTAGCCTCCTTGTCTTCCTGGCCTGAATGCCTAGGGAAGGACGAGCCCAGTGTCATGCCTGTGGTGTGGGAATGAAAGGGAGGTGGGTTTTCTTTTTGCACTTTCATGGTGGGGTCGGTACTGGGGACAGTGAGACAGGGGGCTGGGCTGCCTTTGAAGGATGGCCTCTCTCCCAGTCGGCCAGCCCGGAGCTGGGCAGGAAAGAGATGCTGGAAGAAGAAGAGGTAGAGGCAGGTCTTGGGAACTAAGGGGCAAGAGTGGTGATGGGGGTGCCTCAGCTTCTTGGTGAGGCAGGAGAGCTCTGAATTGGGGCTGAAAATGTAGGGGGCACTAGGCTGACAATTATGCAGCCCCCACAATGGGTCAAAGGCCTCATATGCATTATTTCACTCAATCATCTCAACAAGCCTTGAAATTCATTCCAACCTCTTCATTTTATGGATGAGGAAACAGAGCTGGCGAGTACCCCTCTCTCCAGCGAGAGAGAGTAGAACCAGGACTGGAACCTCGGTCTCTCTAGAGCCACTGGCTTTGGCCCATGATACTAGGCTGGGGCCTGGTGGTGGGCCAGGACACTGGCCTTCCTGAGCTTGTTAAGGGGGGCTCTTCCAAGTGAGGGGGACCCTAGGGAGAGAAGGGAGGTCCAGCACAGCTTGCCCCATCTGCCGAATGAATGAGAAGAGCCAGACCCTCTGAGGGCAGCTCTGATCTGGGGCTAAGCAGCCAGGGAGAGGGTTAGGAGGTGGGACAGCTGCAACCAGGGGGATCCTAGCGCTCGGCCCTTCCTGGAAGCTCAGGAATAGAACAGGCAGAAGCTGTATCAACCTGGTCTGACCCTGCTGCCCCATCCCGGGCTGCCCAAACAATGCTAGTTCTGGCAGGAGGCCTCCGGAGTAGCTCTGGCTAGAGGACACTGACCCAGCAAGAGCTGCCACTAACCTGAGCTTGGGCACCTGGAGCAGGGGGTGAGGAGGGGAGGGCTCAGGCCGAGTGGGATGTAGGGGCTTGAGCCACTGTGGGGATAGGCAGGGGGCAAGGAGCACATCAGGTGTCCCTGCGACCCTGGGATGCAGCCCCAGATGCAGCAGCTGAGAGAGTGGTGGGGGCTGGACCAGAAGCCTGTGCCCACTCTGCTCTGGCCTCCGGGTTGTACCAGGCTCCCAGCCGGGCCATCTGGAAGGGTCCTGGGGTAAGAGCACCAGGTCCCACCACCTGCTGCTGTCTGTCCCAACTTCTCTCGCCTGCTGGCAGCCCGTGGGCTCTTGCCTGGCCCTGCCGGGTGTGCCTCCTGGGCTCCACCCTGGGTGTGCCCACCCCCCCCTCGTGGCCCTGGCCCGGAGCCCACACTCACCATGCGCCCGTTGGGGACGCCCAGGTGCTTGGGCTTCCCTGGCATGCCGCTGCAGATCACGGGTCCCTGCCGCGGGGGCTGCCCACCATGGGGACTGTGGGCAGCGCCAGCCAGAGCTTGCACGGTGGCAGGCAGGCGGCAGAGAGAGCCCGACTCGGCTCCTGCGGGCCCTCACATCCTGAAACACCGCTCACTACCTCTTTTCTCTGCCACAGGAAGTGTCTCTATAGAAACCAAACCACAGAAAGAAGCAAGGTCTAAGAGAGCGAACGCCTCTTCCTACACACACACGCGCGCGCACACACACGTTCATGCACAAACACACACATGCCACCGACACACTCCTGGCAGCATCCCGCATGGGCACCAACACAAGGCAGAGGCTTCCGTGTGCCCAGCAAGGAGCCCAGCCGGGTCTGGCCAGGAGCAGGGAACTCTAAGTTCATGCCTGGGCTCACAGAACCACGAGTAAACATACCTAGGCACCTTTGTCCACCCTGGGGGCGTTCCTGTGGACATGCACACACGTGCACTGGGACCTGTGTATCCACACATGTACTTTACTCGGCACACACTTATCTCATACCTACTGTGTGCCAGACAAACATGTGCTTAGTAGCCCTCTCCCCCTCAGCTGTGGGTATGCAGGGTACCTCTAGATCCAGACACCTACAGGCTCCTTCCATGCATGTGGCCAGGTGTGCAGACAGATGGATAACTTGCCCGCATGGCTGTGCACACACAGACATTCAGGTATGCGTGTCATAAACACATGGGCTCTCCCTTACAAGGGGACTTGGGTGTATAGTCATGTGCATGCCCAGTCCCCTGAACAGGTGCATGTGACAGGCACACCTGAACATAGGACATATATATTCCGACACTCCAGTGACATGTGTAACCAGGTATGCACACGCTCACCTACCTAGGTAGGGGACTGGATCAGGTACATCTGTGGCCAAAGACTTGAGCGCATTCATACTCACTCAGAAATGGCCGGGCGTGGTGGCTCAAGCCTGTAATCCCAGCACTTTGGGAGGCCGAGACGGGTGGATCACGAGGTCAGGAGATTGAGACCATCCTGGCTA